CTTTCTTTTGAGAAGCTTCTGGGTGGATTTGAACCTCCAACATTTGGGTTACCAACAAATTGTGTTAACTGTTTGCACCAACCAAGGATTAATAATGAGCACATGAATACTTAATCTCCCATTTCTTGTAGAAGTTTAATAGAGTATTTGTGTGCTCTGCAAATAAATGGAACTTTCTTGTTTGAAGCCATTTAAAAAATACTATTAAAAATTTTAAAATACTAGATTCACAATGAAGTCCTGGGGTGGTGCTGTAGGACAAGCACTGAACTGCTTAACTGCAAGTTCAAGCCCACCCATTGTTCCATGGAAATCCTACACACAGTCACTATGAGTTATAACTGACTTGTAATTGACTCATAATGTTATGGTGAAGAAGAAGCAATTTTAACAACAACCAAAAACAATGACAAAGCAAATGTGGTTTAATGAAACTCAATCTTAAAGATCATACAAAAGGAAAAACCAAACCAAATACTATGAAGTCGATTCTGACTCATTATGTTGTTATGTATGGTTGTTGGAAGAAGTACAGCCCAAATGCTCCTCAGAAGCCAGGACGGTGAGACTTCTTCTCACATATTTCATCCATGTTATCAGAGGGGGCCAGTCCCTGAAGAAAGTCATCATGCTTGTAAAGTGGAGGGTCAGCAAAAAAGAGGAAGACCACCAATGAGATGGATTGACACAGTGGCAGTAGCATTGGGCTCAAGTGTAACAATTGTGAGGCTGGTACAATTGTGAAGACCAGGCAGTGTTTCATTTTGTTGTACAGGGGTCACTATGAATTGGAACCGACTTGACATCACCTAACAGCAAGAATCTTTGGGCCGGTTCCAATTCAAAGGAATCCTCTATAGAGTGTCCAAGGAGCAGCTGGTGGGTTTGAACCACCAATATTGCAGTTAACAATATTGCTTACCCTATAGCACCATACCAGGACCCCATATAAGGTTTCCAAGGCTGTAAATCTTTATAGAAGCAGAAAGCCTCATCTTTCTCCCAAGGAGTGTCTGATGGGTTTGAACTTGCAGCTAGCATACCAGTGTTACCAACTTCCCTTCCTACAAATACTTTGTATATATCTAGAATTCATTCACTTCTAACTATCTGCAGTCACCCTCATCCTTGACATCACAAGGCTCCTACCTAGAGTACAGTAAAAGCCTTCTAACTGGTGTCTTTATTACTTGGAATTAGCCAAAAAATCTTGAAATGAAAAACTGAGTGTGTTCTTTCTCTATTAAAAGCTCCCTGGTCATGCTCTATATCATTGATCATGAAAACTAGAATCCTCAGTTTGAGCAGTGTAACTACCTTATTTTATACCATTCTTCATATCACTGTCCTCCAGCACTGATGGTTTTCCACATGATATTCCATGTGCCTGGAACACTTTTGCCCTTCCTTGTTGTAGATAGATTTTATCAATTAGGAAAAAAAAAAAATTAAATAAGCCAGAATTTTCTGTTTTCAATGAAATTCAATAAACATATGTTGCGCGTAGTCTTCGCCTAAGACTTATGAGAAGAGTGAAAGGGAGCTATACAAACAGAAATAAATAGTAGTTTTTGTTTGTGTGTTTTCAAGGCACTCACACTGGAGTAGTCCAGTGGAGGAAATAGCCAACTGTCCATAGGAAATGCCATGACCAAAGTGCCTGCTCCATGCTACTGGCACACAGCTGCTTTGTTGCCTTCTGATTGGTAGAAGGGGAGGCCTTCTCAGATATATGATTGTGTGGTTGTCAATAAGAATGATACTGTGTTGAAATTAACAACTTGTCCAACTATCCCAGAAAGTATAGTTTGGTTGGTGTGCTTTACCAGCCGCTCTAACTTAAATAGTAATATTACTTCTTTGTTTTTGTTTTCAGTGTTGCCACATTTTTCTGTCTTAATAGAACCAGAAAACCATTTCATTGGCTATAAGGACTTTAACGATTTTGAAATTACCATAAAAGCTAGGTAAGAAAGTTATTATTTTCAGGTTTTGTAGCTAAATTGAGTACTAACTCTAATTGATTTGCAATTTATTAGCAATGTCTACCTGATTTTAGGACTGATTGACTAAGATTACATCATGCTTATAGTTTGTTTGTTAATTCTGATTTTGTTGTTGTTGCTGTAAAGTGCTGTCAAGGCTGTTCTGACTCACAGCAACCCTGTGTAGGGTTTCTGAGAAGTGGATGGTGGGTTTGAACCGCCAACCCTGCAGGTCAGCGCATTATCCAGCAGTGCCACTCCAGAACACTGATTTTCACTGTTGATTATTCATCAGAAAAGAATCCTAAATATTTAAGCTCTGTGTGTTTGTGTAGGAACCAACAAGAGTTAGGATATTGAGACTGAGTTATAAAGTCTTCATAAAATGGTTTCATCAGCCAGTTAATGGTGCATAACTACTTACCTTAAAATCACAACTAATTGTAAATCAGCCTTGAGGTTCTGGTGATCTGGGCCAGGCTGATGTCCACTGGGCCTCGCTGGTCTAGGATGGTCTCACTCACATTTTTGAAAGTTGCTGGCAGTGAACTGGGGCTAAGGATGACTTGCCAGGTGTGTCTCTCATTATCTAATAGGCTAGACCATAGAAGTAGCAAGACTCAGAAAGCTAGTGAGTGGGCGGAAGCACAGAAGTCTTGATGACTACACTTGGAACTGGCATACTGTCCCTTCCTTTTTTGCCAAAACAAATCACAAGGCCAGCCCAGAGGACACAGACATCCCTCTCCTTTGACACCCTTTGTTTGCAAGAACCTACACAGTGTATAGCTACAGGGAGAGGTGGAAGAGGGTAGGGTGGAAGCAATCTACCACAATAGCTTCGGTCATTTAAAAATGGCAATGCAACTAAGTGTTACATTATGTAACCATAGGTGTTGGGCACTTTTGAAGCATGTTGCATATATTAGCTCATTTATTCTTTATAACAATTTTATGAAGCAGATACTATTATTATATCCATATTACAAATAAGAAAACAACAACAACCCCAAGGTTCTTAAACATTAAGGAATTTACCCAAGATCACACACTACTAAGTAGCACAGCCAGTCTGATTCTAGTGTCTACACCCACAAACTCTCCCAATACTGCCTTTTTCCTTATTATTCACTCTGAAAATCGAGTGGCACTTAGTCTACACCAATGTAAAAGGCTCAGTTGACAGAGAATTATAGAAATGAACTGCTTTAAATGGAGCTATTGCCTTTACTTTTTCCAACTCTGAATATGAAAGTTAACTCATTATAATATTATTTACTATACAGAAAGTTTCATTTATTCTTGCTTGAATTGTAAACTAAAAAGGTAATAAGCATTTAGAATTGTTTGTTTTTTTTTAAAAGAACTTATATAATAGTGAACATAAATAAGCTGCTTTTAAAGACATTAAAGAAAATAGGGGACCAGCTCCTAATTGATATCAAAATCAAGGCCTATAGGGAAAGACCTGGACCTGAATCTTTTGATCTCCCCAAGATCAATTATTTTCATTAGCATATAGTAATACAAATCTGTCCAATAGCTTTATTATTATGGCTTTATGAGGTTGAAATGTAATCATGGATGGAAATCACTTTAAAGATTATCAAAACCTTAAGTAATTTCAAATGGTTACATTTTACCTGAGTTTTATTACTGTAGCTGTGTTAGCAAAACAATTTTATGGTATTCTTGCTTGACAGGTATTTTTATAACAAAGTTGTCACTGAGGCTGAAGTTTATATCACTTTTGGAATAAGAGAAGACTTAAAAGATAGTCAAAAGGAAATGATGCCAAAAGCAATGCAAAGCTCAGTGGTAAGATGTTAACACATATTCATTCACACCTAAGGATCTATGTTTCCACCATCAATGATGAGATAGAAAGGGTGTTCATTTTGGTACTTCCTTAGCAAAGTACCCAAAACTGGATAATGTAAAGCCACAGAAATGGATTCTCCCACAGTTCTGGAGTTAGTCTGAATTCAGAGTACTTGCAAAGCAAGGTTCTTTGAAACCTCTAAGGGAAGATTCTTCCTTGCTTCTTCCAGCTTCTGCTTTCCAGGTGTTACCTGGCTTGTGACAGCACAACTCCAATCTCTGCCTCGATTGTCACATGGTATCCTTTCCTGTGTATCTCTGTGTCTGAGTTTTCTCTTCTTATGAGAACATCAGTCATGTTGGATTTGGGCTCACTCTATTCCTTTTGAAGTCCTGGTGTGAAGCTGCAGGATAATGCACTGGACCGAAAGGTCAGTTTTAACTGCAAGGTTGGCAGTTCAAGCCTATCAGTTGCTCTTCGAGAACCCTATTTTCACTACGAGTCAGTCGACACTGACTCGATGGCACTATTCCTTTATGACCTCACGTTAACTATATTTGCAAAGACTCTATTTCAAATAAGCTATTTCCAAATAAACTCATATTCACAAGTACAAATCAACCCATAACAGAAAGTTACTTCCATATCATCTGGCCCTCATGCTGTAAAGGTTTGGAAGTTGACTCTTGTAATCCTCCATTGGTTTCCCTTTGTCCTTTCGATGGTCTCACCAGCAGCCTATTTCAGGCTACTTGGCCCATTTCTCAATTCACCATAGTCTCTCTTGCCTCCAGCTCTTTTGAACACTGTTCCTTCAACAGCTTTGTCTTTGTCTGCTCCACCTGGCATTTCTTCTTCTTCTTTAAGCCTCAAGGTTGACACACTTTCTCTGGGATGCTTCTAAGCTAGGTTAGCTGCTCTGGCTGTGTCTTCCATAGATCCTGAACCTTTTTAGTAGAGCATTTTTCACACTTCACTGCTGTGGTTCTTAATCAGAGAAAATTCACTACCACCACCCACCCATCCAGAGAACATTTAGCAAAATCCAGTGACATTTGTGCTTGTCACAGCTGGGGGAGAGGATGCTACTGGTATCTTGTGAGTAAAGACCAGGATGCTGCTAAAAATCCTACAACGCACAAGACAGTCCCCTACAACAAAGAATTATCCTACGCAAAATGTCAATAGTGCTGAGATTGAGAAGCCTTGCTTTATTGTAATGGTTTATTTGCTTATTCATCATTCTTTACACTCAACTCTTGATGAGTCTGAATTAGTCTCATTACCTGCCCAAAGCCAGCATGGTTTTTATGAATTAGTGGATGTTATTGGGAACATAGGGAAGTTATTGCTGGGACTGCAACTGGAGCCCTGGTCCCCCCTTCCTTGTTCAGTGTTCCTTACATGTGCCACAGATGACATGGTTCATGCCATTTTGCTCTCTGTTGCATATTTATGTCATTTGCATCATAAATTATGTAGCCTTTGCTTTTTCAAAAGCCAGTTTTATTTATTCAAGATATAATCGAATGCCTTTTTTATGCAGTACTCCTTACTAGATACTAAAGTTTGAAACACTCAAATCAATCAATTTTAGAAGAAAAATTAGGCAAAATCGACTTTACTATATTTGCTAATATTACATGATTTAGCTCCATTCCCCATTGTAGGTTTTTAAATTAGATTTTATTTTGTAAAAGCCATCTTCAGAGACCTAGAAAGATGGATGGTTTCTCAAAGACTGGAAGAAGCTATCTTTGCTAGTTAGTATGAAAGATTTGGGACTCTGACTATCATACATATGGTCAGTCCCAAGCCCATTCCAGAAATCAACAAAGGTGATTTACTGTGGTCTGCCTTCTATGACTCATTTTTTCAGATAGCTTATCTTGAACCACTAACTAGATTCAAAAGTCCTTGGAGCCATGAACCTACTTTTAATCCTGAGACCTCAGACAAATGAATCTCACTGAGTTCCCATTGTCAAATGCAAGTGCAGTAGCCTACATGATCTCTTGGGTCCTTTCCAGCTCTTTAGTTTTATAATTCTATAGAACTGAAATAATGATCTCATTTATTTCAAAGGAATGATGTATAGACTTTTTTCCTCATGTATCTTTCACACTGGAATCCCTGAGTGGTACAAGCAATTAATATTTTTGGCTGCTCACTGAAAGGTGGAAGGTTCGAATCTAACCCAGAAGTGCCAAGGAAGAAAAGCCTGGTGATCTTCCATTGAAAACCCTACAGAGCACATTTCCACTCTGACACACATGGGGTCACCATGAGCCAGAGTCAATGCAAGGGCAACTAGTTTGGTTGTACGACCTGAGAAATACTGATCTTGGCAATAGGAGCAGTCTATGGCATTAGATACATCTTGAAGTAATAAAGGGAGATACTGTGAGAGTTCTAGAGGTTTTAGTTGAAATCTCAGCTTGGCCTCTAACTTGCTGGGAAGCACTGTATAAACCACAGAGCCTATGTTTTCTTTATTATAAAAGAAATGTTGAACCATATGATGTTCAAGACTCTTCCATCTCTATAATTCTATAAAAAATCATTAGAAAGAAGCAGTCAGGGCTTACTTGTGTACTCAGTTATCCACTTGATTGACGAAGTTAAAGTATTCCTCTAACAATTGCCTTCAATTTACCAAAAACAAATCCACTGTCATCAAGGGATTCCGACTCCCAGCAACACTGTAGGACAGAGTAGAACTCACCCCAAAGGGTTTCTTTATAGGAACAGACAGCCTTATCTTTCTCCCAAAGAGCGGCTGGTGGGTTCGAACCACTGACATTTCAGCACTGTAGGATAAGCACTGAACTGTGAACCCACAAGGTAGGCAGTTCAAATCCATCTACTACTTCTTGGAAACCCTGTACAAGGTGGCTATGAGTCAGAATCAACTTGATGGCACTTAGCAACAAGCCCAACATTTAACCCACTGTGCCACTAGGGTTCCTTGCCTTCAATTTTGTTGTTAAGTGCTGTTGAGTTAGTTTCAATGCATAGCAGCCCTGTGTAGCGTTTCCAAGGAGCAGCTGGTGGGTTTGAACCACGAACCTTGCAGTTAGCAGTTCAGTGCTTATCTTACAGTGCTGCTACCAGGTAAAAGAAAATTTTATTAATTTTTCCTTTTAAGCTTTCTCTGAAATAATGCTTCAATTTTTTCCCTTTGAAAAAGATGAGAAATGGAATTATTCAAGTCACATTTAACACTGAAGCAGCAATTAAAGAACTGTCATATAACAGTCTAGAAGATCTCAATGATAAGTACCTTTATATTGCTGTAACAGTCATCGAGGCTACAGGTAAGTGTCTTTCTTTTCTAATTTTCACTTGGGAATTTAGATAGCATATTAAAGGTAAAAATAATTTCTACATAATCATTTTATATTATTAAGAACTGGGAAACAAGTAGAATTCAGTTGCTCTCTAGTCATTGGCAAGCTATTGGGATAATGAGATAATGTATGTCAGAATGTTTGATAAAGTAATATACAAATGAAAGGTGTTTTGTATCTATCTGTATTTTTGGTGTTTAAGTATCTATCTGTACAATGATGTAGTTGAACTAAATACCTCCTACAGCGATTTTCAACTGTAGAATTCAGGGATTCTATCTAAAATTGGAGAGAATAGGACAATTCTAAAATGAGTTTAATAATAGTATATACCTCAGTTCATTCACTACCACTGAGGCAATTCTGACTCATTACAGTGCCCTGTATGATTTCCGAGGCTGTAAATCTTTATGGGAGCAGAAAGCCTCATCTTTCTCCTGAAGAGTGGCTGGTGGGCTTGAACTGCCAACCTTACAGTTAACAGTCCAGTGCTTATTTTACAGTGTCACCAGAGCTCCTATATACCTCATGTTGTTGTTGTTGTTAAGTGTCATTGAATCAATTCCAACTTACAGCAATACTATATAGGGTTTCCAAGGAGTAGCTGGTACATTCGAACTTCCAACCTTGTGGTTAGCAGACCAGTGTTTAGCCTTCAACTCACACCAGGACTCCATATTACTAGCTTATTACATTATTAGCTCCTCTACTTACTCTTCTGCTTTTCCTCCAACTCCTCTTTTTCCTTTCTTCTTCTTCACCAGAAGGGACCAGATATTTCTCTTAATGTCCTTAACATTTTGTCTAATGAATTTATAATCTAGGAACATCAGAAGTTGTCTAGATTCCTTAAAGATAAGAACTAGGATTAACACAAAACTAGTCCCCATGACGTAGAGGTCAGCTCAACCTCCAATTTCCAATCTTTCTTTATTTATTTTTTAACCAATTCAGACACCAGACACCCTCTTCAGGGTACTCTCCTTTTCTGCTGGGTTCAATAATTCATTGCAATGGCCACACACAACTCACAAACTGTATTTGCAGTTCAGTAGTTTATTAAGAAAGTAACAGGGTACAACTTGGGGTCAGAATCAGGGTCAGGAGGCACATAGACAAAGTCTGGAAGGTTCCGCCCAAGTAGAACACACATCCCTCCTTCCTCTAGTGCCAGACAATTCTCTGAGCCTCTCTCAACCTGCAAGCAAGTAAACCCTTTGATCAGTAATGTATATCCCCTGTGCCCATGTAGTCCGCCTCTCGGCCCCCTCAGGATAGGCCTTCTCTTGATCTTGTCTGTCCACTCTCAACTATTCAGGCCTTGGCCATCAGGCCTTGGCCATCACTGCTAACTGACCCAGCTCATAACCAGTGTAGCAGTTTTGTTCAGCTTTCTTAGCAGCATTCCGAACAGCAGGTTTTTGCCATCACCACTGACTCTATCACAGGGTCTCTGCCAGACCTCTTGCTGTCCTTAGTGTTACAGCCCTTGGCTTGTGGTATAGCTCTCTTAGGAGGTTCCTTGCCTCCTTTCTTTCTGCTGCTTCTTTCCTCTTCTCCTTTCTTAAACCTCTATGCTGTTGGCTGCTTATATAAGCAAACTTCTTAGCATTTCCAAGGCATGACCCTCACCAAAGTGAACCATGTTCATTTCATTTCATTTGCATAGTATATTGACCAATCCCTGCAAGGCATATACGACTCACAAGGGCAGGCAGCAGCCCAGACAACAGGCATCAAACCATCAAGTTGTTTATAGCTTATTCAAAAACTGTGCATCATCTTGGACAAAAGTAATATAACTTCTAGGGTAGGAAATTCGGGCAGAGGTAACGCCTCAGGACATAGGGAGGAAATCTCTCAAGCTATTTTTCCAAAGAACCAAGGCAAAAGGCCACAGAAAGGAACTTATTTCACCACAGTATTCAACCCCACTCCAATAGTTTTTAATCATTATTAATTATCACTCATGGAGTGCTCTTGGCACTGTAAAATAGACACTGGACTGCTAACAACAGACCAACCATTCAAACCCACCAGCTGCTCAGCAGGGGAAAGATGAGGCTTTCTGCTCCTTTAAGGAGCTCTGGTAGCGTAGTGGTTACGAATCGGGCTGCGAGCTGAAAGATCAGCAGTTCGAAACTACCAGCGGTTCCGTGGGAGAAAGATGAGGCGATCTGCTCCCGTAAAGATTTACAGCCTCGGAAACCCTGTACAGGGTCGCTATGAGTCGGAACCGACTCCATGGCACATAACAACAACAACAAAGATTTATAATCTCAGAAACCCTATTTGTTGTTGTCATGGGCCATCGAGTTGACTCTGACTCATAGCGACCTTGTGTAGGGTTTCCAAGGAGTCGGTGGTGGATTTGAACTGCCGATCTTGTGGTTCGTAATCCAGTGTTGATCTTACAGAACCACACTAGGAGTCCTATAGAGGGTCACTACAAGTTGGAACTGATTTAACGGCACTTAACACAAACACAACAATTATTACTCCTAACTAAAATAGTCCTACTTCTGGTATGCTTTGATTACTGATGTTCCCATGTATTAAACCTCCAGCTAACCTTCAGGAAATAATTTAACCACACTGAGCTCTGGTTTTATTTTGTTTTTAATCATAAAACGAGAGAACAGATGGTGCCTTCTACTTCTTAATTTTGTTTCTTCTATCGCTGCAGAATGGAGGATTAAGGTTATTACCTAGTTAGTGAGCAGTTTGTAGATACCAGATGCTCAATAAATGTTGGAGAATGGTAGTCACTTGATCCTCTTTGCTCTGGCTATTGCTTTTGACATTGTTTTAATGTATTTGTCATCCTTTCCCTTAATTTGTTTCAAATCAATTCAGTTTAAGCAGTATTTATGTGACATTCAAAAACACATTGTCAAGCATGCAGATTTATAAATGTGAATGATTTGTAGTCCCAGCACTCAAGTAGCTCACAAAGTAACATCAGGTATAAGACAACTAGAAAAGGATGCTTATACAAAGTCCATAGTGCTCTAAACAAGGTAACGAACAAATTCTAAAGGCTACTAGCCTGCAGAAGGAGAGCTCCGAGATAATTGTTGAGCCACCAAGAAAGGTGTTGTGAAGAAGGAGGAGATTGAGATTGTCTGGAAGGATAAATAGACCTAAAGGCAGTGATGGTGTTATTGTTTGTTGTTAAGTGCTGTCAAGTCATTTCTGACCCATAGCAACCCTGTATAGCATTTCCAAAGACCATCTGGTGAGCTTGAACCACCAACCTTGCAGTTCAAATGGCTTTGCAGTCTTGTGCATTAATCCACAGCACCACACCAGGACTCCAAAGGCAGTGATGGTTATTGTTGTGTTGTTATGAAGTGCTGTCGAGTCAGTTCCGACCCACAGCAACCCTGTATAGGGTTTCCAAGGAGCACCTGGTAAGCTTGAACCACTGACCTTGTAGTTCAAATGGCTTTGTAGTCTGGCACATTAACCCACAGTGCCACACCAGGACTCCAAAAGCAGTGATGGTAGTCAGGGTGAAATGGGACAACTCCTATAAAGCGAATATATCAAGTGAGGTTTGATCTTTGAGAACAGCAGCAGATAAGATTTGGCTGAAGGATAGAATATGTAGAAAGGACTATTAGCGATGTAATACTGAAAACAAATTTGACAATACTAGAGCTTTGGATGGTATTCTTAATAGTTTGAGCTTAATTTTTCACAAGAAGGTAACATTATGGTATTCTTGTTATTGAACCCTAATGGTTCTTCCTGCCTTAAACTTTCTTTTCCTGTTTCCTCTGTTTCTGTCAGTAGCTGAACTCTAACAGTGAACCCCCTGAAAGGCCTTTCCTTTTCGTCTCTCCTCAATCTTTTGTACATATTCAACTGAAATTCAGTCCACTGACAAAAGTAGTGTCCCTTCCTCGAATTCCTCCTCCATTTAGTTCTCTAGCACCACATCCTCGAGGGGCATCTGTACACATAAGCGTTGCACGTAAGGCTTTGAAACCTAAAACCTTTTCTGCATGGCCTGTCTGAGAGCCAAGAACCACGTCTGCTTATTATTGGTAAATGAATGAGAAAAGAAGGAGTGGAGTGCATGAATGAATAAGTCTGTGGAGACAGAGAAACTCATACAGATCATTACACTCCTAAATGTGTTTGTTATTTCCTTAGGTGGATTTTCTGAGGAGGCAGAAATACCTGGCATCAAATACATCCTCTCTCCCTACAAACTGAATTTGGTTGCTACTCCACTTTTCTTAAAGCCTGGGATTCCATATTCCATCAAGGTACATAAGAAAGAAATAAAACCTACTGAATAGGATTATTTCTGTTAATAGAAGCCATCAGGGTGGCAAATGGAGGAAGAGTGCTGGGGAGGGAACTCGGTGAAGGCATTAACTGTATAAAACCTGCTCCTCCTATAGACGGAACCAGTCACAGATGGTAAGACTGCAGGATCCATCAGCTTCGGCCTTGCCATTCTCTCAGATTGACTCCTAGTGACCCTATAGGATAGGGTAGAACTGCTCCCATCAGGTTTCCAAGGCAGAAAGTAGGCCATGTGCAGAGCTGCTGGTACATTTGGACCACTAACCCTTTTGTTAGCAGATGAGCACTTAACCACGACACTAGCAGGACTTCATAACTGGGTTAGGCATTTCCTAAGTAAGCATTGCAGTAACTTTATGTAAAATCCCCTAAGTCTATAGTCTGAGAAATATTAATGTTTAATACACAGTCCCTCCAGGCACGTTCAAGAGCCCTGTTGGCACAGTGGTTAAGCATTCAAATGCTAACCTTAAGATCATTGGTTCCAACCCACCAGCCACTTTGCAGGAGAAAATGTAGCAGGCTACTTCTATAAAGAGCACAGCCTTGGAAACCTGTAGGCAGTTTTACTCTGTCCTTTGGGGAAGGCAGTGGTTTTTTTGTTTGTTTTAGAAGCCTTAAGATGGAGATATTATTCCTTGAAAACAGACCCTGTCTCTCACTGTGTTTTCCTTCCTGTGTGTCTTTGAGTTAGTGTGTTTGTGTTTTGAGTATGCATGTCTGTGTTTGTACCTCTTTTCTGTATTCTCCTTATGAGTACCTCTATCTAGTCTTTTGTCTCTCTGTATTGCTCCCTGTCTTTTTTTACTTAGATACTTTCTGCCCTTCATTCTCTCTTCTCTCTTTTGCTTCCTTCTTCCTTTTAAACATTTTTCGTTTTTCCACATTTCCTTTCTAAAATGCTGATAATATGGAGTCAAAACATCCATTTGAGTTTCAATTGTATCTATTAAATGGAAAGGTTTGCCCCCTGACCTTAATTTAGAAACCAAGAGCAGAGTGATTTTTTTTTTTTTAATTCTTTGAAAATGTGTTGCTTTTAAAAACCAACTTTAGTGTGTTACTTTGGGTCATTGGCTTTTAAGAGTAAAAGACCTGCAAAGGCCAAAGCAAGCTTTGAACAGATTCATCACTTCTTATAAATAAGTAGGAAATAATGATGCATAAAGTATAGTACTACAAACATGTATATATGCATATGCGTATGTATATATATTATTATGTATAATATTTATATTTTAAAACATTATATATATCATATAAAATAATGTAAAATATCTTTATGGTAGTAAGATATAAAGATGAACTTCTTGCTTCTCATACTTAAGAGATTCATTTCCAGAAGTGATTGCCTCGTTTTTTTTCCTTTATCCATTCCTAAGTCAATTGAAAATAAAATACAGAAATCAGATAGTAGAAGGCTTTATCACATCTACTTCTGGGCAGACTTAATAGAATGACTCCTGAGTCTACTTTATGCGCCGGGGAATCCATTCAGTGATTTAACTAAATACAATTAAACTTTTCTAAAGCTAAGGACATGGCTCTCTTTACTGATACAAATAAGAACGAGTCCTGGTATGGCACTGTAGAATAAACCCTAAAATGCCAACTACAAGGTTGGTGGTTTAGACCCACCAGTCACTCCTTGGAAACCCTATACAGGATCACTATGAGTCAGAACTGACTTGACGGCACATAACAATTTATGCTTGTGTGGGGAAAGGGAAATTAGTTCAGAATTTTTTATGCTTCAAGAGAAGTAATAAGCTGTCAAAATTGATTTGGATTGTTCTGACAAACAGGTGCAGGTGAAGGATGCACTTGACCAATTGATTGGAGGAGTCCCAGTAACCCTGAATGCAAAAGCAACTGATGTAAACCAGGAGACATCTGACCTGGAGCCAAAGAAAAGCATAACACATGTCAAAGATGGAGTAGCCTCGTTTGTAGTTAATCTCCCATCTGGTGTGACAGCGCTGGAGTTTGACGTGAGATGAATTCTCCTTTTATATTTTCTAGAACAGTGTGTACTTTCGACTGTGTGTTTTGGCTACTATGCAGAACAGATTTTATACATGAGTCTAGTGAACAGATCTGCAATTTTGCATTAAAAAATAAAAAGCACCAGAAGCAATCTACTAACCCACTAAACAATCTTTGAGGAAGATAAATGTTTTTATTAACTTTTTTATTTGTGAATTAAGTCTTTTTATACAACATAAGACTATCTTAATAAGCCCCGGTGGCACAGTGGTTGAAACACTCATCTTCTAACGAAAAGACTGGAGGTTTGAATCCACCAGTGACTCGAAACCCTATAGGGCAGTTCTACTCTGTTCTCTGTGAGTCTCTATGAGTCAAAATTGATTCAGTGGTGATCAAATATGTATGGATGAGCTATAGGATAGACACTGGACCTCAAGGTCAGTTTGAACTATAAGGTTGGCTGTTCAAACTCACCAGACACTCCTTTGAAATCCTATACAGAGTCACTATGAGTTGGAACCAACTCGATGGCACTTAACAAAACAACATAAGACTTTAATAGAATCTAGAAACTTCAGAGTAGGAGTTCCTGTTGTTGTTAGGGTCGATACTGACTCATAGCGACCCTATGCACAACAGAATGAAACATTGCCCAATCCTGGGCCAACCTCACAATTGTTGCCACACTTGAGTCCATTGATACTGCCATTTTGCCAATCCATCTCGCTGGGGGTCTTCCTCTTTTTCTCTGACCCTCCACCTTACCAAACATGATTTCCTTCTCCGGCGACTGGTCCCTCCTAACAATATGTCCAAAGTATGAGAGATGAAGGTTGGCCATCCTGGTCTCCAAGGAGCACTTTGGCTGTACTTCTTCCAACACAGATCTGTTTGTTCTTTTGTCAGTCCATGGCACTTTCAATATTCTCCTCCAACACCATAACTCAAAAGCATCAATTCTTCTATGGTCTTCCTTATTCAGTGTCCAGCTTTCTCAGGCATATGAGGTTATTGAAAGGCTTGGGTCAGGTGCACCTTAGTCCTCAAGCTGACATCTTTGCTCTTCAACACTTTAAAAAGATCTTGTTTTTAAATAAGGCAGCAGATTTGCCTAGTGCAATACATCATTTAATTTCTTGACTGCTGCTTCCATGAGTGTTGATAATTGATCCAAGAAGAATGAAGTCCTTGACAACTTCAATCGTTTTCTGTTGATAAGAATGTTGTTTATTGGCCCAGTGGTGAAGATTTTTGTTTTCTTTATATTGAGATGTAATCCATATGGAAGGCTGTGCTCTTTGATCTTCATCAGTAAATATTTTAAGTCCTCTTCACTTTCAGCAAGCAAGGTTGTATCATCTGTATATTGCAGATTGTTAATGAGTATTCCTCCAATACTGATGCCATGTTTTTCTTCATATAACCCAGCTTCTTAGATTATTTGCTCAGCATACAGGTTGAATAAGGTGAAAGAATACAGCCCTGTCACACACCTTTCTTAATTTTAAACCATTCAATATTCCCATGTTCTAGTTGAACAACTGCCTCTTGGTCCATGTACAGATTCCTCATGAGCACAATTAAGTGTTCAGGAATACTCATATTTTGCAATGTTGTCCATAGCTTGTCATGATCCACACAATCGAAAGCCTTTGCTTTAAAGCACAGGTCAATATAGCACAGGTAAATATCTTTCCTGGCAGTGGAGTTATGAATTGGGCTGATAATCTCACAGTCAGCAGTTCAAAACTACCTGCTGTTCCGTGGGAGAAAGATGAGGCTTTCTGCTCCCGTAAAGATTTATAGCCTTGGAAACCCTGTACAGGGTCGCCATGAATCAGAAACGAATCCACGGCACATAACAACAAAAACAAACATCTTTCTGGTATTCTCTGCTTCCCAATAAGATCCATCGGACATCAGCAGTGATATCCCTCATTCCACGTCCTCTTCTGAATCCAGTTTGAAGCTCTGGAAGTTCTCTATCAATGTATGCTTGCAGCCATTTCTGTATTACCGCTAGTAAAACTGTACTCACATGGGACATCAAAGATATTGTCCAATGATTTCTGCATTCCATTGGGTCACCTCTCTTTAGAATGTACACAAATACAGATCTCTTCTAATCAGTTGGCCAGATAGTTGTCTTCCAAATTTCTTGCCTTCAGTGCCACCTCACTTTCTTGAAAGATTTCAATTTTTATTCCATCAATTCCTTGTGCCTTGTTCTTTGCCAACTCCTTCAATAAAGAATTTGTCTCTTTTCAGGGACAAATGGGTCAAATGTGGAAGCTTTCCTTTTCTCTAATTGAATGAATGGACTACTGTATGCTTTTTTCTCTAGCAAGTAATGTTTAAGTTCCCAATCCCAAATAAAATACAGAGAAGTTAATGACAACATAACAAACCTGTTGCTCTAGAGTCAAGTCAACTCAAAGGGACCTTATAGGATAGAGTAGAATTGTCCCCTAGGGTTATCGAAACTAATCTTTATAGAAGCAGATTGCCACAGCTTTCTCTCACAGAGTGACTGCGGGGATTGAACCGCCAACTCTTTGGTTAGCAACTGAGTACTTAAATACTGTGTCACTACAGTTCCTAAAGTCAATGGTTGTTGTTAAGTGACTTTGAGTTAGTTAAGTAACTTGCAGTTAGCAGCACAATGCTTATCCTACAGTGCCACACCAGGACTCCAAGTTAATGGTTGGTTCTGACTCATAGCAACCCTGTACAGGGTTTCCGAGGCTGTAAATCTTTAGGGGAGCAGAAAGCCTCATCTTTCTCCAGTGGAACAGCTGGTAGTTTTGAACTGCTGACCTTGCGGTTTACAGCCCGATTCATAAGTATGCTACCAGAGCTTCAAGTTAATAGCAGTATATATATAGTCTTCATCATCTGTAGATCACTTAGTAAGTGCTAGGCATTGTGCTAAGAACATTATAGTGTTGTTAAGTGCCATCGAGTCAGTTCTTTATACAGTTTCCGAGGAGCAACTGGTGAGCTTGAACCACACACCTTGCTGTTCAAACCGACTGCAGTCCAGCGCATTAACCCACAGCACCACACCAGGACTCAGAATGTTAGGTAGAATGCATTTAATACTCATGTAATTACTTCTGTGAGTTAGAGAAAATAGTCTTTGTCATCTTGTGACAAAGGAAGAAGAAAGAATCTTCTGATCTCTAAGGTGATTAAACCAACTTTCCGGAGTTAATAAGTGGTAGCACTGGATACAGAACAATGCTTATCTGACTCCAGAGCATGCGCTGGATACCCCTCTGCTATCTGAGGGTTGCTATTACTGTCAGAATCATTTCTGTCCTGTCTGGAGCAGATAATCTTGTGATGATGCTTATTCACAACTCCTGTCCCCCACCTCTCTCTCAAGCGTTAGTGCTACCTCCTCCCCACCTCTTCTCCCCTACTCCCAATTGCTGTCATTCTCCCAGGTGGGTTTCTATTCCTATGGGGGAGAATGACAGAATAGAAACCACCAACTTGCCATGGCATTCCTGGAAGAGTACCAAGATTTATTCCAGCAACATCTTTCTCTCATTTCACTAGACTTTTCCATCCTAGCCTACAATCCCATCATTATTGTCTACTGTATTGAGTTACTTGATACTACAGCTATACAAACATTGGGATAATGGAGTGTTTTCTTTTCTTTAAAATCGGGTGTTGTCTAGTGAGATATGCACACCATAGAGTGGTCAACCATTTGAGATCAAAAGGGCATCATTTACCTAAGAGGAAAATTGAGATGGGTTGGGAAAGATGGAGGAATGGAAACAAGAATCACAGGGAGGAAGTGGGATACATGATGTTACACTGAAGGGATTGTAATCATTGAAATGAAACAAAGTGTTTGATTGGTTGAATGTAAAACTGATGATGTGCTTTGTAAACCTTCACTCAATTCATAGTAAGAAGTTAAAAAAAATTAGGCATTGATGGATTTAGAAATTGATAAAACCAAGAAAGGAATTTAAAAGGCATTTTTGCAGAAAGCATGACATCATAGTAAGCATGTCCTTTTGAAATTTTTTCTTTTCAGATCAAAACTGATGACCCAGTTCTTTCAGAAGAAAATCAAGCCAGCAAAGTGTACCAAGCAATAGCATACTCATCTCTCAGCCAAAGTTATCTTTACATTGACTGGACTGAAAGCTATAAACCTTTGTTTGTTGGAGGACATCTGAACATTATTGTTACCCCCCTAAGTCCATATATTGACAAAATAACTCACTATAATTATTTGGTGAGTAAAACAGTGGCAGATTTATGTATATCTCTTCCCCTACCTGGAACATTTTCCTTTGTTTCTAGAAAAGCATAGGAATGGTGTCTTCCTTTATGCTGACAAAGCACTTTCACAGACAGCATTATTGTCTTGGTTACAGAGAGCTGTTGTAACTCAAATGCCACGAACGGGTGGTTTCAAAGAACAGAAATGTATTTTCTCACAGTTCTGGAGGCTTAAATCCAAATCAGGATCTGAGCCACATAGATTCCTTCTTTGTCCCTGAGCATTCCTTGGTTCCTTGGCATTCATTGGCATTTGTTTTCCCCTTTATGTGTGTCTGTGTCTGTTCTAGCCTTTTTACAGATCAGAAGTGATTAGATTTAGGATCGATCCTACACTGTTGTTGCATGCCATTGAGTTTGTTCCAACTCACGGTGACACTGTGCAGGGTTTCCAAAAGCAGCTGATGGGTTTGAACTGCCGACTTTGCCGTTACTGATCCCATGCTACTGGGATGATGTAATTTAGATAATAAAGAGAAAACCCTGCTTGCAGAAAGGATCACATGCACAGATACAGGGATTAGGAATTTAGTACATATTTTGAGAGGCACAATTCAAACCATAAGAAGCATCTTATTTTACAATAATGTCTTCAAAATTTCTGTTGACAAGGCATGATTCTCATACCCATTTCACAATGAGGAAAAGACTAGCTAGCCATGGTCGCTCAGCTCAAAAGAGGAAGATTTTGATTGGAACTGAGTAACTCTCTTTCCTGTTCTGATACTCCTTCCACCAAATCTACCCTGATTACTACACGGAGAAAGCCTGAATAAATTCTCATAGCCAAGTCTCAGGCCAAACTATTACCTCTGCTCTATTTAATGGTCAAAAATGGCACACCTACACCTAGTTCAAATCTGTGTGTTCTATTGGCATAAAAGGAAGGCCCAAATGCTGCTCTCAAGGGTTGAATCCTATTAGAGCTTTTGCAATACCATAGCTCAGCAATGCTTCTAATGCATCATTTATAGTCAACAGGAGGTGGGCTTCAGAAACTTAGGAAAGAATATGCATGTGCTTCAGAAACTTAGGAAAGGATATGCAAAGAATGTTAAGGGCTTCCTGGCAATTGTCAAAGAAATGGAATAAATCATTCTAATGATCAGGCCAAATAGGTGGTGATGGCTTTTTCAACATTTTTGAAGAAGTAGTAAAAAAATTAATGGAGAATGCAGAAAAACATTTGCCAATGAAGAATTAGAAGAACTATTTAGGGGCTAGGTACCAAAACCATATATATAGTCCAGTTCTCTCAGGACAATTTAAGGGATCTTTGAGGACATTTTGGCTTTTTTGTGGTTTGTGTTTTTTAACCACAAACATTCAGTTTAGAACCCAGTCCCTGGTTTTAAAACTTAATCCCAACAAGAGATGATGTACTACACCTATTCTTTTTTTAAATCAATGAAACCTAAGAGGTTTTGATGACAGTGTGACAATTTTAGACAGATCTGGATTCAGATTTTAGCTTTTTCATTTCCTAGTTTTGTAATTTGAACTAAAACCAGGATGGCTTTTAATTAGTTTCTGAACCTCAGTTTCTTCATCTGCAGAATGACAATAATATATGCCTATCTCACTGGTTTATTGTAAGAATCAAAGGAGTTAAAAAAAAAAAAAAGGAAACATTTCTGTCACATAGTAGGCCATAAACGTGAACTTTTTCCCTTAAACATAGTTTATGAACCCCAGTTCCAAGTTCCAGTTTAAAGTATAGGTTTTGTGTTTTATAGTTACTGTTGTTGCTTTTCTTTTTAGATTTTATCCAAAGGCAAAATCGTACACTTTGGCACAAGGGAGAAGCTTCCAGATCTATCTTATCAAAGTATAAATATTCCAGTGACACAGAGCATGGTTCCTTCAGCTCGTCTCCTTGTCTATTACATCGTCACAGGAGAACAGACAGCAGAATTGGTATCTGATTCAGTCTGGTTAAACATTGAAGAAAAGTGTGGCAATCAACTCCAAGTAAGTCACTAAGTATAAATCACAATTGGATTTTCTTCTGAATGAAGGAGGCTATAAACGTATGTAAAAAAATTCGTTTCATATCAATGACCTTTACTTTCTTTTTCAAATGACCTTTTAGGTTCATCTATCTCCAAATACAAATGTTTATTCTCCAGGCCAAGATGTATCTTTAAATATGGCAACTGAGTCAGATTCGTGGGTGGCGTTAACAGCAGTGGACAGTGCTATCTATGGAGTCAGAAGAATAGCCAAAAAGCCCATAGAAAAAGTTAAGTAGTGTACTGCTGTGGCTAAGGTACATGTTTTGGCTCAGTGCCGAGACTCACTAAGTGATTCACCGGGGAGGGTTGGGGAGGGAGAGTTGAAGAAACTTTTTTTCTTGAGTTGCCATCAGGTCAATTCTGTCTCATGACAACTCCATATGTGTCAGAGTGGGATTGGACTCTATAGGGTTTTCAGTGGCTGACTTTTTCAGAAGTCCATGTTTCTTTCCAGATGCCTCTGGGTGAACTCAAACCAACAGTCTATCAGTTAGTAGCTGAGTGTATTAATCATTGCTGCCAGCCAGGGATTACAAAGGAAAACTGGTGGTGGTGTGCCATGGAGTCGATTCTGACTCACAAAGGCCCTGTATAGGGTTGTTGTTGATAAGTGCCTTCAAGTTGGTTCCAACTCACAGCGATCCTGTATAGTGTTTCCGAGAAGCGGCTGATGACCTTGAGGTTCAAAATAACCTACAGCGCCACACCAGGACTCCATCCATATATAGGATTAGGCTTGCTTTTATTTTAATACAATCTACTTAAAAACAGTGGTTCTTAGGAAGGTAAGTCACCCTCATTTAGTCCCCAAAGCACAGGTCCATCTATTTTTTGTCTTTCCAAGTGTAGATTGAAACACATGGGAAATCCTTTAAAGCTCTGTGCTGAATGAAATTGTTGTTGTTGTTATGTGCTGTTGAGTCGGTTCCAAACTATAGCGACCCTGAATAGGGTTTCCAAGGAGCAGCTGGTGACCATGAACTGCCAACCTTGAAGTTCAAATGGCTTTGCAGTCTGGTACATTAACCCACAGCCCCACACCAGGCGTTAAATTAGTCAGGCACAAAAGGACAGCTATCATTTGATCCCACACCCATGAAACATCTAGAACAGGTAGATGCATAGAGACCAAAGTAGATGAGAAGTTACCAAAGCCTAGGGAATTATTGCTTAAGGAGTTGTTGTTGGTAAATGCCATCAAGTTGGTTCCAACTCATAGTGACCCTATATAGAGTTCCTGAGGAGCTGCTGGTGGGTTTGAACTGCTGACCTTGTAGTTCACAGTCCAGTGCTGATTCTACAGTACCATATCAGAAGTCCCATTTCACCCCCAAATAATTGGGAGTCCTGGTGTGGCGCTGTGGGCTAATGCATCAGATTGCAAAGTTGTATGAACTGCAAGGTCAGTGGTTCAAGCTCACCAGCTGCTCCTTGGAAACCTATATGGGGTCCTTGTGGGTCGGAATCAACTCAACAGCACTTAACAACAGCAACAACACTGTGGTCTTGCCCTGTTTTCTAAATGAAAATGCTAAACCCTTGGAATTTCTTGAGTAATTGTGATATCTTTATTAAACTAAATAATACCAGGTATCAACAGGCTTTAACACATCATGCATATATGCAGGTATGAGGTCCCCATCATGATTGAGACTAGTCATGAACTTGGAGTCTCCATGAGTTTCCTGGTTGGCAAAAGGAGGGTGGTATGCCCTTTATGGGTGCTCTGAGTTGGGACCTTCCAAGATCTCACCCATACATCTCTTCCTTTTACTGATTTATATCTTTTTGCTATAATAAATGTGTAATAGTAAATATAGGACTTTCTGCTAGTTGTGTGAGTCATTCCAGCAAATAATTGAACCCAAAGGAATAGTGGGCGTCAACAGGTGAAACTGAGGGAGCCAGATTTACAACTGACATCTAAAGGGGCATGGGAAAACCTCAAGTTTGTAGCCAGCAGGACAGATATAGGGTATCATATGAACCCCCAAGTTTTGCAGCTGGCATTTGCCCATCTGGCAGTCTATAGAATGGTGTCCTTTCAACCGGTGACCTAGCTCCAGGTGGCTATGGACACAGAGAAAGAGTGCTACATCAGAGATGACTGAGAAGTGGGAAAGCTGGGATTGGATTCATCTTCACGTTTTGGGAATTGGATTTATGTTGATTATTATTCTAGAAAGTACTAAGTTTCTGCTTAGAGTGATTTAAAAAAAAAGGTAGTGGAGTCCTGGTATGGAGTACTGGCATTGTAGGATAAATACTCAACTGCATGGTCAGTTCAAACCACCAGCCTCTCATTGTAAACCCTATACAGCTTTGCTATTGGTCAGAAGCAACTCGATGTCACTTAGGAACAACAATGTTTGTACAAGATTGTTTTTCTTCTCTTGAGTCAGAACCAACTCAACAGCACCTAACAACAGTACGTTGATAATGTCACATCTTCATGAACCAAAATTGAAAAACCAGGAAGTTTGATTCTTTATGTGTAACATTGTAAATGTAATTAATGTCATTTATAAAGGCTAATTTTATGTTATATATATTTTGTTGTTGTCATTGTGAAGTTCTGTCGAGCCTGTTCTGTCTGACTCATAGCAACCCTGTATCGGGTTTTCAAAGAGTGGCTGGTGGGTTGGAATTACCGATATTGCAATTAGCAGTTCAGTGCTTATCCTACAGCCCCACACCAGTACTCTTCTATGTATTTTACCACACACAAAAAGAAATTGCACCTACCAAAATTAAAACAGTAACAAAAAAAAAGTCATGAGAGCAATTACATAGGAAATGTTGGGTGTCTAAGGAGCAGCTGGTGAGTTTGAACCACCAACCTTGTGGTTCAAGCCAACTTTGCTGACGAGTGCTTATCCTACAGAACCACACCAGGATTCCTGGATTCCTTTAGCAAATTAATTTTTCTATGAAATCCCATTCACCTATACATTCATTCTTTTTTCTTTTTCTCTTGAACAGTATATTGAGCGCAGCATGCAGTGTAGGTACAAAGCAATAACCGTCAGTTTCTAAGACTCCCATCATCAAAGCTATTTACTTACAATTTAATTTTTTATAAGTATGTATTTATGAAGATACAAAGGAGTAAAATTAAATGCAAGAAAGCTGATAAGACTGGGAAATTTGGTTCTTGGTTAATTGATAAATGAGTGGCCTGTGTATTTCACAAGTTTGTTACAACCATGTAGCAAGTAGTACCTCTTGGAGATTAGGAGGAATGCCTATACATCTGAACAGGCTCAACATTCTGCCTTTCTGACAGGTATTTCAGACTTTAGAGAAGAGTGACCAGGGCTGTGGAGCAGGTGGTGGCCGCAACAATGCCGAAGTATTCCATCTTGCAGGACTCACCTTCCTAACCAACGCAAATGCTGATGACTCCCAAGAAAACGGTAAAGCATTCAGGTTCAGCAAAACATTAATTAATTACTAACATTTACATTGATAATTTGCTTCCTTTTGACCCTCCAAAACAGTTTCTATACTGATTTTAGAATCATGTGACTATAACTCCCCTGGATAAAATATTTCACTGGCCTTCAAGATAAAGTACTGATTCTTTAGTGGAGTGCTCAAAGCCTTCCATGATCTTCCAGCTCTCTCCAATTTTATCTCTCAATTTGCTCTACCTCACCATACATGTTTGAGCTATACAGAACATAGTTCTTGGGTGGCACAGTAGGTTTTTACCTATTAGGACTGCTTTCCACTGTATTAAACTCATGGATGGGACTTCATCCAGTCACTTCCTTCTTTACAGAGATGATGCCATAGAGGTATATCCTTTTACAAATAATATAATAATAACAGAGTATCATTGTACATTCTTACAAGTAATTACTTACATATCTTGTCTCAACCAATGCATTGCGAGCTCTTTAAGAACAAGGATCACATCTTAATTATCTTTTTTTTTTATTTATGAATCTAGTGTGACGCTGTAGGATAAACACTGGACTGTGAACCACAAGGTTGGCAGTTCAAACCTACCAGTAGTTCCTTGGAAACCCTATACAGAGTTGCTATGAATCAGAACTGACTCAACCTCACTTAACAATAACAACAACCTGGTTTTAAAGTTGTTCATAATGTTATTTGGTACTATGACACTGATGTCTGCATTTGTAATAATATATCACCAAGAGCAAAAAAAAATAAAACTAGCATACAAAACAAAAGTTTTTGTTCACTCCAGTTACTTAGGTACTCTCTATAATCAATGGATCAGAGAAGTTGTAGGATTCAAAACTGAACTCTGATCAAGAGAGTCGAATTAAATGACCCCCGATCGTGTACTCCACTTGGAGAGAACAGGTCATATTCAGATGTGTGGTGCATCATGCCTAGTCCAAAATAGCATCTCAGTATTTGTTGGAATTAATGACTTACGAATGTTTTAAATACTTAAATGTGTTTTAAGCATTTTTCTTGTTTTTAAAGATTTTTCTCTCAATGCTTTTTTCTTTTTCTTCTTTGATTTTCCTTTTTTTTCCCCCTAAACAGATGAACCTTGTAAAGAAGTTCTCAGGTCAAGAAGAATGCTGAAGATCTTGATAGATACAGAAGGTACTCTAATAGTTTTATATTATTGGGAAAAGATTATGATTGTATTATTCGGGAGCTAGGGGAAATTGAACATGATATAATTTTTCCTAAGTCAAATACAGTGGGTAAAAAGATGATATATACAGATGCCTAACTCACCTTCCTCAGAAAGATTCGTCCAAATAAATCCAATAACTCACTTGTTGTTATTGTTGTTGCGATGCGCCGTAAAGTCTTTTCGGATTCATAATGACCCTTTGTACACCAGAATGAAGCCTGCCTGGTCCTGCATTCTCCTTACAGTTGTTGTTAGGTTTGAGCCCAGTGTTGTAACTTCTGTGTCAGTCCATCTTGTTGAAGATCTTCCTCTTTTTCAATGACCCTCTATTTTACCAAGCATGATGGTCCCTCCTGAGAACGCGTCCAAAGAATGTGAGACAAGAGTCCTGGTGTGCTGCTCTAAGATAAGTACTGGACTGCTAACCACATGGCTGGCAGTTCAAAACCATCAGCTGCTCCTCAGAAATGCTCCAGATAGCACTATGATCAGAACCTACTCGACAGCACTTAACAATAACAGCAAAGACTGTAAGCCAAAGTCTCACCATCATCACTTCTAATGAACATTCTGGTTATATTTCTTGTAGCCCATTCAACATTCTTCTCCAATATAATAATTCAAAGGCATCAATTCTCCTTTAGTCTTCTTTATTCACTGTCCAGTTTTCACATATGAGAGGATTGAAAACACTATGGCTTGAATCAGGTTTACCTTAGTCCTCCAGGTGATAGCTTTGCTTTTTAACACTTTAAGGAGATCTTTTGCAGCAGATTTGTACAATAAAATACATCATTTTTATTTCTTGATTAATACTTCCATAGGTGTTGGTTGTAAACCCAAGTAAACTGGGATTCTTGACAACACGAGTATTTTCTGTTTGTCATGATATTGTTCATTGGTCTAGTTGTGAGGATTTCTGTTTACTTTATGTTGAAGTGTAATCCATATGGAAGGTTGTAATCTTTGATCTTCATCAGAATTTCAGGTCCTTTTGGTTTTTAAGAGGTAAAATGAATATTCTTCCAGTCCTGTGGCTGCATTCTTCTTCATATAGTTCAGCTTGTAAAATTATTTGCTCATCATACAGATGAATAAGTATGGTGAATGAATACAACCCAGGATACACCTTTCCTGGTCTTGAACCATGCAGTATTTCCTTGTTCTATTTGAACAACTACCTCTTGTCTATTTATAGGTTGCCATAACTTTAGTCTAAGGAAAATACCAAAATCCATTGCAGTCTAGTCAATTTTAATAGAACTGAGCTCCATAGGGTTTTCTTGACTGTAATCTTTATGGGAACAGATCAGCATGGATTCAAACTGTCAGCCTTTCAATTACTGTTATTGTTGTTGTTATGTGCCGTCAAGTCGGTTCCGACCCATAGCGACCCTGAACAGGGTTTATGAGGCTGTAAATCTTTACGGGAGCAGAAAGCCTCATCTTTCTCCCACGGAGCGGCTGGTAGTTGTGAACTGCTGACCTCGCAGTTCACAGCCCGATTAGTAACCACTACGCTACCAGAGCTCCTTTTTCAATGACTAACTGTGTGTAAATTGTTTATACCACCCAAGGAACTCTGAAGAAAATAGGTCTTTATTACTTCTCTCTCTAAAATCGAAAAGATTAACTTTCATTTCTCACACAAATTTTTTATCAAATGACAAAATCCATGATTTGATTAACTTGGTATACACCTAGAAATTTATTTTGTATCTTAATAGTTAATGACATTTTTTCTTTTTCTTTAGAAAACAAGTCTAGTTTGATAATGAAATTAAGTCTCCATTATTATTATTTATTTAAATATTATTGTGAATTATGTGATAGTTTACATAGGAGAACATTGGTTTTACATTCATTCTATCGTATATCCTCTCATTGCCATGGTTACGATCCCCTCCATACAATCCTTCCCCCGTGCCCCCCGGGTCTTCAGCACACAGTCGCTCTCCCTCTCTGGATCTAAGTTTCCAGCTGCTCCATTGCTCCACTTCATCATCTCTGGCTCCATTTCAGGCATCACTGCTTCTCTGGGTAGGGTCCCACTCTCTACTCTTCTCCCTTGATGGTCCTAGGGACCTCCGCTCCTAGACTGAAAAGTTAATCACTCCCCTCCTTGCTATAAAACGTCTACCTTTACATTTCCAACCCTCACAATCAGTTCTGATAACAATTATTCATTATTGTATCACAGGAGACCCATCTGTATTTCATTGCATCAGCCCCGGCTAGTCAGATTGGATACTACTCACTGGAGATTCTACCTTCCTCCAGGCCCTCTGGATCTAGGTTCCCTCTTGAAAGCTTGTAAGCCAGTCACTTCTTGCCTTTGTAGACCCCCACCCCCCCATTTTGGGTAGCCAATGTCCAAGTTGCCCATCCCTGTCTACTCTGTGTGTGGAGGGGGTGGGAATGATTCTTGCTGTAAGGATTTATTCCCTCTTTTGAGCTACTGCTTCCATAGGTGTAGGTCAAGTTCATCAAATTGTATGAGAATACTTTTTTTTTTTTCCTCTTCTTTTTACTTCTGGTTGAGCTCTGATCATCCAGTCATTGAAGCCAGGACAAGTGGGTATTATCTGCAAGTCTCCATTATTTTTAAATAATTACATAAATACTAACATGATAATTGGTGTTGTTAAAATAAAAAGAACACTGAACTGGGAACTGGAGGTCTCAGCCCAACTACTAATCATATATTCAGAGTAATATAATAATTCCTCCATTTGTGTTATCAGTTATGAAGAGCTACAAGAAATATTTTTGATAGGATATAGGAAATATATATTTTAACTGGAATATTTAGCTTGAAGAAGGAAATATTTTTATAGTGGTGATGTTGTTATTAAGTGCCCTCGAGTTGATTTGACTCACAGAGATGCTGTATAGGGTTTCTGAGGAGTGGCTGGTGGGTTTGAATCACCGATCTTGCCGTTAGCAGTCCAGTGTTTATCCTATAGTCCGGCACCAGTTTGAATAGTATTTAACTTAGTTTCAAGAAGCCTTTAGCCATTTAGAGTAAAATGGGATGGAACTTCCTAATAGGTAGCATCCTCCCCATTCCTCGAACAGTGTCAAGCAGAGGCTGATCCATCCACTAGTCTTGTGGGAAGCGAGTCTTGAGTCAGAAGAAGCCAGGTGTCCCTCAAGAACCCTTCTAATCCTGAGATTCTAGTTCTCTAGACATGATCAGGTACATTTGTGCTATTGCCATTTCAGCTGCTAAATACAGACACGCATTCATAAAGAAATGTTGTTACGATGGAGCCCGTCGTAGTGAAGAAAGTTGTGAGCAGCGAGCTGCACGGATTACCATAGGTCCAAGATGTGTTGCAGCTTTCAACGTATGTTGTACCATTGCAAACAAATTCCGTGATGAAAATGATAATAAAATTCTACAATTGGGAAGGCTAGGTAAGTTTGACATTTTCTACCAGAATTCTACTTAATACAGGGAATTTTGTGGAATTTATGCTGCTAAGAAAGGGAACTCTCATACTCTATTTAAAGTTCAAAGTAGAAAAAAATAACTTGTAAATGCCCATAAGGAAAAACTGGTATCATTTTGGGAAATTCAAAGACTTTTAGTACAGAGGTGAGTGTGCTAATCCAGAGTGAAGACCGAGTACAGTCTTTAGTGCCAACTCATTTATAAAATTGAATGATAATTTATCATCTATGAGTCTCAATCTCCTCATTTGTAAAGCAAGAAGCTGGATCAGGTGATCTTTAACATGTCCTTTAGTTCTGTGATATTACAACCACCAAAAATTCTGTTTATACCTACACTAACTAAATATGGCATAAGATTTATAAATCTAGCTAAGGTTAAGTGTATTTATATAAATAAATGAAATGTTATTTGTACTTCACCCACAGTATATATTTTCTGAATTTATAGAATGCTCATTAATCTAAAACTTTCAGGCTTTCCTTTATATATATATAT